ACCCAAGTGGAAATTTCTTGGTGAATGGCGGCGATGACGATACAATAAGATTGCTTGATTTATTAGAAGGTCGACCAATTTATACACGGTAGTAGTGCACTTTAGCGGAACCAGGTCAAAATGGATGCCATACTAAGTTTGCGCCGTCGCTTTCTCTCCACATGGTAGACATTTTGCTTCCGCGGGCGAGGATCGACAGGTAATTTCTGCTTTGTGTGTAAAAAAATTATATAATATACATTTTTTCCTTTATTCAACAGATGCTCGTTTGGAAATCTATTTTGCATAGATACATTTGATGCCAATAGCTCTCGCAACAAACAAGCCAGTTCTCAAAGAGTCCAAATTGATTTTGGTCATGCAACAGCTCCACATGACTCCGCCATAGACACACCAGTTGCTGGAGTACCAAAAAGATGTGATAGTATTTTAATTGATCCACGACAATCGGTAGCATATGGAATGCGTGATGGAAATTTTCTGGTGCTTGATAGCCAATATACTACAAGAGTGAAACGCTACAAGTGAAACGCTGTGATAGTAATTTTTCTTAAATTTCCTTCTTTTATTTGCAGTTACATTAAGAAGCTCATAGAGGACAGAGCTGTTGGTGAGGAAGGTGTCGAGTTACTGCAGTACTGCAACTGGGAAAATCCGCATTTCGCACGTGCCCCACTCGTATGGAATAGTAGCTTATGTCAAAAGGCTGGTTTTAGTATAATGCGGCATTCGCAGCATACCCTCATTGGTGCCGAGGCGTTGAAGAAATTTTGGCAAATAAACGTGCAAGAAATAGTTCCGATACTAGCACGTCCATATTCTTGTTAAGGGTCATCAAAAAATTCCTTGTGTTGTAAATAATAAAGGGAATGCCGGATTATACTAAAGCCAGCTTCCCGACATAAACTACTATTCCATACGAACACAGAAATATAAATGTATCTAAAACTGAATAACTCAAATCAAATTGGATTGCATTTGCATAATATACCTAATATTGGAATCTGTTTTGATCGTAAAAAATACAACTTCCAATCATTTAGATTATAGTTTTGAAAGAAATTGATTGCAATCGTAAATTGTGTAAAAATTGTTAATAGCAATCCGCCTTAAATTTATGTTCCTCATGTAACGGGTATAAAATACGTTAAATCCGCACTATCTGCATTAACAAAAAATATACATTGGAATATTTAAAATAAAACGATTCATATTTATTTTCTAATAATTGTTTCTTAATTGAAAGTATTTAATACTAATATAATGTAGTGGTTAATGTTTAAAAATTAATTCGCAATATGTCCGCAGCTCAGGTTGATTTGAAGAAATCCGTTTAAATTTTTCGAATTACATCTACTTGAATATAGGATAGGCAGGGTTGCATACAAATGGTAGTTCCGTAAATATTTAAAATATGTTAGTTCATTCAATATTTACATCTGGGCCAATAAATAATAATAAATATAGCCGAAGTCTAAGCATCGACCACTTTCTGCAGGAAAACATGCGCTGCGACAAGACTTTT